GCTAGTGGGGTGAGACTAAGTCCCTTGTACTGCGGCCACTTCTGGCCTATTGTACCAGCCCCAGATGATAGGTGAGGGTGATTGTGGAGCAATTGGTGGAATGAAGATTGGCAGGGGAAACCGAAGTACTCGCAGAAAATCCTCCCCAGCGCCCCTTTGTCCACCACAAATCCCTCTTGACCAGACCCCGGGTCGCCGCAGTGAGAAACCAGCGACTAACTGCTTGAGCTAGAGCGCGGCCTTTTATCTGTGGGTATATTCACATTCTGTCTCCATACTTAGCTAAACACTATAGGTTCCTGAGGGCGGTGCGTATATTTCGGGCACTGCCCAACTTTTCAGTAAATTACACTTTTTTTTTCGGAAACTGGCTCTGCTCCTTTCTTCAGGTGACGCAACAGGGTAAGGAATCCAATTTCTTTGGGTCCTTGACAGACCTAATCTCAAAGTCTGGACCAAAACTAGTCATCAAATCGCCAGTCATGATTTTGTTTTCATTCTTAACAAGTGCTGAATATTGTCACTTATCCTGGGGTTCGTGACGCATAATTATAACGGGTTCGCGACCATATTTCACTGTCTCAGATTTGAGACTTCCCTTTTCGTCGCCTCCTACGACTCGCAGGGTCACGGTGGAGGTATTCGACCCCGCCTCCACACGGGGTTACCTCACTCATTAGTTACTCCAGTTTCTATTATCTGAATGAATTCTTAGCTGCACTGCCCCTTATATAGTGTCCGTATCCTAGGAGAATGTTTGTTGCTTGTCCGTTGACACGGTAAAGGCCTTCCGTATCAAGTCGTGTGTTAATTTCGTAGCAACGCTTTGGTTTCCACAAGCCTATCCGTTACCGCAGGAGACGTGCCTAAAGAACCGTTGTCTAGCAATGGACGTCTCTGCAGTGCTTCTCTGACTGCACATTTCCGGCGTTCAGGCATCATGTCACAATATTTTTAAAGGACATATTACCACATAAAATTTCACAACCGGATATGAAGCGACGCTAATGTTGTCATGTTGGTTCAACAGATTAGCGGCAACTTTTGTGTGAATTACAGTTCTCTGCCGCTTCTCAGGGTACCCGACGTGTGCAAGTGGTGTTGCTCTGGGGCCCAATGAGACTATTTCGGATATGACCATCAGTCAGGAAGACTAACAAAAGAGGGTTTACCTACAAATTTAAACTCTGTATAAATCACTCACAACCACCAGACGTACTTAATGCGTACCCCAGGAGACATAAGTACAGTTTTAATATTATTAAATTGGACACGATATCGCAAACTCCGTTTAATGTTCTCAAGATACAAGAATACACATTAAACCGAATCTGGAATGAGCTTCAATAGGTTTATCTTATTCCCAGTTGTAGGTATAGTGAGTGGCAACATGACATAGGCTCCGCATGTATGAATTACAGGCACCAAAATATATTTTCTTCGAAATACCGATTTACATTATTTGATTGTCTTTTTTATTATTTATTTCGATTACAATAACTTTTCTATATTTCTTAGGAAGAAACAAATCGATAGCTGGTTGTGTTGTTGTTAATATATGAACATCTTTGCGGAAGTAACTGACTTTCGCGGACCACACTTCGTCCATTTTGTTCAACTATGTACCATACGTGTACAGGGAGGATATATTTGTCTTTACACGTCTTTTAATTGCCTTCTCGTTAAATTTGAATGAAAGAAACATACAAGTTTACACCTCATCTCAGCGCTAAATAACATCCGAACAGATACAGTGTTGTTTAACATAATACTCCACAAACCTAGTAGGAAACGAATACATATGTTGTTTACCATAAACCGATGCAAATGTACCCTGTGGGCTGTACTGTTCCACGTTCTCTTGCATGACTGTACAGTGGATGACGTAGATATAAGATTATTGTCGCTACTTTGCACTTCGCCTGACCTGTCGACCTTTGTACGATGTTATCTCGCTTCGTATTGGCTCGTTCGGTTCGGTTCGGTTCGGTATAGGTGCTATCCTTACGTGAACATTTCTGTATTCTGTTAGAAATGAGAAACACGTTTATTTCTAAATGTGTTTATGGGTCTGTAAAAAAGTAAAAGTATCCCCGTAACAGGCTGTGAAGGCCCATTGGGTTGTGAGACGCGAGTCTCCCACATTTTCTCTAGACAATCGGTTCACAGATGGCGGTGAGGTCAGCCTTACGCGCCGGCCGCACTATGGCCCACTGGTCGACTCAGTCTCTAACAGAAATGAGTACCAGGAATCTTCCTGGGAGGTACTCGAACACGTGACCTTCGGGCTTGTAACATAGTGCCTCAACCAACTACGCTACCGCGTATCCCGGAAAAAATTCTCTCTCAATGTTTATGTTCCCTGGAAAGAGGATAGGTCACAACAATTAAGCCCCCTGTTGGTCTGCGAGTCTTTATTCAACATATTCAGACCGGCCTACCTTACCAGTTGGGCTACCTCGTGCGCCACCCGAGGTGCGCGCCCTCTAGAGGTTGCAGGTTCCTCCGAGGATTTCGTTTATGGGCCTGTATATGTACCTATTCTGAATCTCTGTGTTTCAGAATGTTCCATCACTTTCTTGAAGCAATACAGGTAATATGTTTTGATAAAAATTGCTACTAGGACTTTAAAATAAACCACCCTTGGCTGTTCTGAGTGGAAATTGAATGTAGAAGTTTTGTCAGATTCACCAAAGAGACATCTCATATTAGAAAGGGCAGTGACTCTTAAAGAGGTAATTTTTGTTTTTGTTTTTCTTAACTTCAGAGTTCCCATTATACGAAAAACAAATTGTTTCTTTGTTTTCTCTGACTGAACATGTTCAGTCCATCGTGACCCTACCCTAATGCTACCCTAATGACACAAAGGAGCACGCAGTAGCGTAGTTGGCTAAAGCACTGTGCTACAAGCCGGAAAGTCGCGTGGTCGATTCCCGATGAGGTAATTGGATTTTCTCAATTGACCAAATCCTTCCGTCCCAACTATGGCCCTGGGGTCGACTCAGCCTTTAAAAGACATGAGTACCAGGAAACTTCCATGGCGTAAATGGCAGTCGGCGAGTAAGTCTGATAACCCCACCGCCATCTGTGAGCCGATTGTGTAGAAAATGTGGAAGCCTCGATGTCTCACAAACCTATGGGCCTCCTCGGCCTGCTACAGGGATAGATTTACCTTTACCGTTACCTTTAATGACTTAAATCGTGAAGATTGTCGTTTTTCTAATCCCTACTCTTAAATTCTTTAGAGATCAAAATACTCTCACCAGAACTCTATTCTCCAAAATCTCAAATCTGCGTTTTCATTTTTCCAGTGCATATGAAATGTGGCAAGACCCGCTCACGGTAATATTACAGTTCAGGTTTCGGAGAAAGCTAGTGTGACAGACATGCGCACTGTGCACGTGCCCTTATCTCTCCAAGGCACGACGGAGCGAAAGAGAACCAAGATTAGTAGAAGATTAAGGGAAAAGGGAAAGCCGTGGGTGAGTAACACCTTATTTTGGATGGGAGAAAGAGTATAATTCTCTTAGAAGCTTTCGACTAAATAATATATTTGCATAAACATGTAATTTTCGTCTAAAAATAAATAAACGACGTCTCCATTAAAAGGACTAGCCATTTAATGACATTTAGGAAAATAATCAGTGATTATCCAGGAAGTCATGGAAGTCATACACCCTGCATGGAAATTGCAGTGGTTTTTATTATGTTAACGCGAGTTGTGGTACTGATTTTGTGCAGTCGGTTTAGCGACTGGCTATGGACGACTGAGAGTTCGGAATTCGAGTTCCGGTAGGGTCAAGCACTTTCACTTCTCCATGTCGTCTAGAGCGGCTCTGGGGTTCACATAGCCTCCTATACAATTGGTACCGGGCTCTTTCACAGGGGTAAAGTGGCCAGGGCGTTAAGCTCACCACTCACCTCCAACTAATGCCGAGTTCAAGAAAATGTGGATCCATACATCCACTCCCCCATACGTCTTCAAGGTGTAGTACATAATTAGTTAAGCACAGAGACAACTCTACTTTTTTACCTTAAGTAAGTGGTAGATACACTACTAATCACTGTTCTTTAGGCGGTTAAATATCGGTAATTTTGCGGTTCTGTCAAGATGTTACGCTTGAATATTTCTCCTGCAGTTGCAGCTGCCCCTTGTCTGCCATGCAAATAAACACTTTTCCTTCTGGGACGCCACACGTTTTATGCTCTTTGTCATAAAGTGAAAACGTACTGGAATTTTCATGTCTGTCCATCCATCTGGCAAACAGCCCGTTGGGGTTCATGTTGCTTTCCTACAGCCAATGTTTTGTACGAAGATTCAGTTCGGTTCTAAGCCATTTCTACAAATGGCAAATACTAGAAAAAGGACATAAGCTCTAGATCGTGTGGAGATCAGTCAGTTGCATTTGATTTATTTTTCAATACTCGAATTTCCCATCTATGTCGAGGTCTCCGAAGTGGTCCCATCCCTTAAGAATTCCGATGAAAACTTGGCGCATTTTCTGATTGCTCCCCTCGCCTGTTACATGCCAAGTTCATCTCTTCCTCATTAATTCGATTTCATAAATATTTCTTTTACTAAAATGCAAATTATGAAGTTCGTTAAGTATGCCATTTTCGCAGTATGCTGCTAATTCCAGTCTTTTATTCCGAATGTTCTCCTCGTCACTTTGTTCTAAGAGAATCAGAACTTTCGTCTTTCCCTTACGATGAGGGTTAAACTTCAACATCCATGTAGAGTAACAAATAAAATGTGATAATATATACTCAAACTTTTATTTTCAGGAAGACATTTTGAAACTATATTGTTTTTCCCCCAAAAAGAACGTTAGAGACCAAGAATATACGTGTCTTTGATATTCTGTTGAAAGTTCACTTTTGAAGTTTTTCAGGTGCTTTCAAAAGTAAGCTCTCAACGAAACCGCATATTGCTGTATAGTAGAGGAGTTATGAGCATCACTTGACCGACCGCCTTGGCTGTCGGCAGCCCGCTTCTTATTCTGGAGGTCCCGATTTCAAATCTCATCTTGGAGACCGGTTATTCTGAGTAAGGAATTTCGCCATTTTGTTCAGTCTCTTCGGGCGAGTGCCAAGGTTTACCGCAGCCTAGGCCCTAGTTATTTACTCCCACATATTGGCCGTGCCAAATCTCTGGCGGTTAGTCGCAGGCTTTCCACCACGGCGGGTTTAGTCCCAAGTCAGGACATGTGGGATTTGTGGTGGACAAAGTGACACTGGAGTAGGTTTTCTCCGAGTACTTTAGTTTTCCCCTGCCTATTCTCATTCCACCGACTGCTCCATATTCATCATCTATCTTCCAGGGATGGTACACTAGACTAGGCCAGTTAGTGGCCGACGTGCTAAGTGGACTCAGTCTCACCCCAAGAAACTAAAAAGAAAAACTGCTTCAACATGACACCGATCTGTTGCAACCTTCCTTTGTAGTATCGGCTTGGTCGGAATGGCGCTATCTCTGCTGCACCTATTTCCACCTTCGGATGGTTTGACGTATTGATAAGGTGTAATTAGTTAGGCTGCCGGTCACGATAGCCGAGCGGTCTAAGGCATGTACTGTCTTCGCTCGCTTGGAAACCGGGATCGTGGGTTCGAATCCCACTCAGGGCATGGATGTTTGGTTTGTGTGTATGCGTTTTTCTGTGTTTGTGTACAGGTAGAGGCCTTGCGACGAGCTGATCACCCGCCCAAGGAGTCCTACCGAATGTGTAAGATAAAGAAAAACCGAAGTGAACGAAGTTCATGGAGGCAGGCCTAGGCCCACTGGTGCTGTAGTGCCAAGGAAAAAAATTAGGCTGGGGGCCACTGCAACTTGTCCTTACAGAACTAATGAAGGTAGGTAGGCAGCTACGGGAAACTAGCTCGGTCGGTTAGCATGAGACTCAGGTTAACGATGTCGGAAATCGTCAGTAAACAAGGAGTTGATTCACTTGCATTGTTCTCCAAACCACACTCTTTCATTTATTGTACTTAAATGCTTATAATTACAGTTTCTTATTTGAACCGACAGTCCACTTCAGTGAATCTACACGTGTTTAGTGAACTAGGCTTCGGAGCGTGCAAGAATCACGCCTGTACAGTTCAGCAGATTGAGGAAGTGGAACCCCACTTTGGAGTTTCAAAATTTCGAGTCCTCTCGGGTGCTGAGTGATACATGCCAGTCCATCTCTCACAAGGGAACAAGGCAACTACGTCATAATGGCGCTTGCGTAGTTCTCATTCGCAGGCAAATATAACGAGTTTTGATCAGGCTTTTTCACTGACTCCTGTAGGCGTGTCTGGTTTCCTGTACCCGAACTAAAATTAATGACTGCTCTTAAGCCTCAGAACTCCAGATTTTGGCGCTGCCAGACTCCAGAAATTTCAACGTAAACACAGTACTGAACATCCAAGACAGTGGAATATGATATTATAAATTTACGATAAAATTTAATTAATATCTAAATGTAAAATTTTGAAATACCCATAATCAATTATGAGCGAAGTTCTCGGTCATAATAAATATCTAGTTTTCATCAAGTGCAACAATTTAATATTTAAAATTCTTTACATATTTCGGCCACTATTGGCAATCATCAGAAAGAACAGCCAACGCTATGACACGATATATCATGCATGTAAATGTTGGCTTTGCCTTCTGATAATGGCCAATAGTGGCCGAAATACATAAAGGATTTTTAAATATTAAATTGTTGCACTTGATGGAACCTTCATGATTATAAATCTGAGCAAATTAAAACATTATTAAATTTATCGTAGACAAATAAATGAAATAAGAAGCACTTTCGGATACTTTTCGCACGCTTGGCACGACTAAATTTAAAATGCAAGCGTACAGTGAAACAGACGTATGAAGGTTATTAGTGCCCTGCAGTTACCTTAGCTTGTTGCCGTTGCCGCTGCTGCTGCTCCTTGTTGTGTTGCAGCTGTGTGTAGTGCGTCTGCAGGAACTCGAGGTTCATCTTGATCTCCTGCAGGAAGGCGATAGCTTCCTCACGCGTCATCTGCTCATGAACAAAACATAATCTCGTTTGTGTTGCACTAGACGAGAAAAAATACATATCAATTACGTTTTCATTCCTTATGCTCTTCCAACGACATATTTAGTCCATCATTAAACTCCTTGATTAATTTTTAGGTAATCTGACGAGGACTGTACAAATAATTAAGACCCTTATCATAAATATTGTCACATTTTTAGTGTTACGTGACTATAGACGGGGTATTAATTAGTGAATGGATTTGTATAGACCACTCGGAACTACATTTTACAGATTACTGACACAACCAGAGTAGTGTTCTCAGTCTATTACAGTCTCCACTGGCCGTTTCCTGGCAATGACTTCTACCGAGAGAGATTCTTCTGCTTCCCGCACTTAGGTCCTCTTGTCACAGCCGCCAGTGCAGAACTGTTGTCAACTGAGAACTAACTGAGTCCCAGGCTGGTTATCATTTCACACCAACTCCCTAGCCTTCTCTTCACAGGCTGACTTTCAACTGAACTGCTGACAACTCAACTACCTCAACTCCGGAACTCGACTGACCTTGCTTATAACATTTCGCCATGAGCCACATAGAAAACACCATTTCCTCTGTTGTACTTGTAGTTCAATAATACCTCGACCGTTGCCTAGAAACGGACGTTTGTTTATTTGCCTATTGCATAGCAACGGCTGTTGTTTAAAGAATCGCCTCTTAGTAACGGGTCTATACGCCACAATATGAATCATCCCCAGCTGTCATATTTCTCGGGCCCATACGTTTTGATGGGTTGAAACGGAGTTTCAAGTTCTTATTTGAATCAACCTCGTAAACATAAAAGGCTGTTTCTCCCTGCCTAGAGAGGAAATTGATTTACATGGGATTACGCAAGTTTTAAAGTTTCGCAATTTGTGTGAACTTTCCCTGGTACAGCTGTAACGCCAAGTTCGTAATATTTGTGCGGTCTAGCTATTAAGAGATTACTTAAATTTCATTTTGAAATCTGTACAGTGTCAATGGTCTGTACTTTTTATAACGCGAATTAGGGGCCCGGAACTTTCTGAGGTACCCAACGCGGTATCCATCCTTTGACACCGAAGATAGATCCTGTATGCTTATTTCGTAGCTTTTGATCTTACTGAAGGTGTAACACTCAGTCTTGACCCCTGACTCAAGACCTGTGCTATACTGCTCCGATCTGTAGGATGGAAGAGACATGTACTATGTAAGTTCAAAATTAATTTGCAGATATGTATTTGGAGGAGGGGGGGACTTCCTGGTGCTCGGCAAGGTCTTCAAAGAAAGTCACTACAAAGTATAAGCTGATTAAAGACCTTCACATCTTTTATATCAATATGAACTGTTATTTGTGACTGAAGAATTCGGTACAGTTCTTGTACTTTTCATCGTGTAATGACTATACATAAGCGTTTAGTACTGATAGGAAGAAATCTGAGGTTCTGGTTGGATGAGAGTTAAGATTGCGGTCTTCTGGGTTGTAACGCCATGTAGTATTGTGACATGATGCCCAAAAGCCGGAGTAGTAAATTCAGAGTAGAAGTACATTGCTGGGCAACGATTCAGTGAACACATTCCCACGGAAACAAATACGCAAGCGACAATCGAATAACTGCCGTTTCTATGCAACGTCGAGGTAAACACACATCTATAACAATTGAGGAATTGTTAGGAAACGATATTTTCTGTTGAGTCTGACCCGAGGCTATGTAATGAGGATAGAAGGCGTGTGGCGTTCAGAAGCCCGTACGTACTCGTATATGACTATGCAACATTATGATAATGAGATTGTTCGCAACATCGGACAAGGCGAAGCCCGAATCAATAAGTATAAAAGGCTTAAACTTGGCGGCGGTCAGGAATACGACCGTTCAAGTGACTAGACTGCCGTGGTAGCTAATTCTACTAGAAATAGGGCATAATCTACTGTACTGAGCCTGGACTGACAGAGGCCTTGTATATATTGTACATATAAATAGGAATTAAGATTAAATTTGTAAATATATGTAAATACTGACAATGGACTTACTAACACAGACTATGACTGACAAATGACAGACCCGACCTGTCGTCAGAGATGGCGCCCCAAATGGACAGGAGAATAACTTTCATATAAAGAAAAAAAATCTGGTCATGATCCCCAGCAGGTAGACAGACTGACTGACCTTCAGTCGCAATGTGACTTTGACTTTGACTTGACTTGAGTGGACGCGGGGTCGAATACCTCCCTGCGAGTCATAAGAGGCGACGAAAAGGGAAGTCTCAAATCTGAGACAGTAAAATATCGTCGCGAGTCGCAAGGGACTCGGACCCTAGGAAGACTGCGCTGGCAAGGACCAGCAGCATATAAAAAAACAGACCCGTCCTCTCGTCAGAGATGGCACACCACAAAAACAAGACCGTAACGGTCAAGCAGTAATAAATATCTGGTCATGAGCCCCAGATTGGGCTCGACACCAAGACTTACAGACTGACTGACAGTCAATCGCAATGTGACTTTGACTTTGTGTGGAGGCGGGGTCGATTACCTCCACCGTAGCCCTGCGAGCCGTAAGAGGCAACGAAAAGGGAACCCATTGCCTGGGGGTACAACTTGGCCACCCTGTTTTTGGGCTATATAAATACGGGGACCTGGACTTCCAGGTTGGGGGAGCCTCGAATCTGAGACAGTAAGGCTGAAAACCCACTGACGCGACTCGTCGCGAGCGGCTAGCCGCTCTTTGTTGCGCGCGTCCGTTAGTTGTTCATATTAGGCGTGCGACAGCTCTGCCGCCTGTGTGCCGCGTTCCAAAACTTAACCGCGCGCGGCTCATAAAAGCAATACAAATAACGGCCGCGAGCGACAACACTCGACAAACCGCGCGCGGCTTGTCGCGTCAGTGGGTTTTCAGCCCATAATGTGGTCATGAGTCCCGCGGGACTCGGGCCTAAGAATGACTGCGCTGGCGAGGCCCAGCAGCAATTGTAAACGACAGACCGATCCTCTCATCAGAGAGGATGTCACATAAGGGCTATAACTGAAAGTGTTCAGTTGGAAAATAAAATTACTGGTCGCGAGTCTCAAGGGGCTTGTCGCTGAGACGAACTGATTGGCGGTAAACCGACAGTCGTAAAGTAGCTCTGACTCTGATTCTGACTCTGAATTGGAATTGAGGAAGTCTCTTGAGATGGCAGTCGAAGATGGTGGCAAGGAAGGAATTAGGCAGTGAAAAGAAGACTTTATATGTGCTACAACGACAGTGAGACTGTTATAAATCTGTTGCCAGGATACGACTAGTGAAGACTGAAAACACTAGTGTGTGTGTGTGTGTGTGTGTGTAACGGTGAACTGTAAAGTGCGGAGATTGATGATTACCTTATAATTGCCTTTAGTTCCGAGTGGTGTGAAAGTGGTCAGTAAATTCTATCATCCCATTCAAACCCAGTCTAATAATCGCATACCCCTAAGTCGTGACAGTATTGTGCCTATCATAATGTATCCAAGAAGACAGTAATCTTAAACAAATATTTACTTTATAGGCCTGTACACTTTGGCATGTCAAAATTCACTAAATTTTCCTTAAGTACATATTACCGAGCATTAAGATAAGTACCATCGTTACGATGAACATGAGGAACGCAGAGGTACATATTAATTTGTAAATCTAAGAATTATTTGTGCCTCAGAGAACTCATTTCTGTTACGTCATTACCATGAAGAGTACTCGAAACTCAGCTCTGTTACCGTCAGATGGAACTGTGAATCCTCCTGGCTGAGTAATTGTAAGCCGCCGAAATGCAGTAAATGAAAGAATATTGAAAACAAAGAAAGAAAACTTACTATTTCTCTATTCAGTAAAGGCTCCATGCGTTGCTTCGGGTCATTCGTACGTGTTTTATAACTTACACATTCACCGCTCAACTACGGTCCCAGAACTGTAACTTAGCGCATGCATCGCTGGAAAAGGAAGGGTAGAAGACAATTTTGTTACTACTGCCAAGTCGCAAGGTTTCATTCACATATTGCGTGATTTCTGAACCAGGATTCGTCACCGTCTTAGTTACGAACTAGAAACTAAGCCTATATAAACTTCTTGTTTAAGGTAGAAACTCGTTTGAAAGATGTGAGATTGCTTCGACCCGTGACACCCAGTAGAGAATATTCATTTGTCTCTACAGCGCCGTATGATACGAAGTTTTGAAAATGCCACACACACATATACTGACAGTCAATAAGTTGGTGCAGTGGCCGCAAAGCGTCGTACGGGAATTTACTGCCAATATGTTTCAGCAATGTTTTCGACAGCTATATCAACGTTGGCGGACTTGCATAAGGGCCAACGGCAACTATTTTGAGGGTTGATGTGGGTCTGTGTAAGTGTATGTGAATACCTTGTAATATGATGCGATGAAACCACATTCCACTAACTTAATAACTCTACCACGTATGCACTGAGCGATGAAATTAAAATGAGAATAGAAATTTATACCATGGCCTCCTAGTAAACACCAGACAGAGAACAGTTGTGGTGGAGGTAGAGTACAGAATAAAGTAGGCCTAGTTAAATACGTTTGTTTAGGTCATGTCACTTTATGCATTGAGCGACGAAATGGAAATAGAACCTTACATGGTCTCCTAGCAACCACTAGGCAGAGGACGGAAAAGGAGGAGATAGAAGGGTTTTCTGTTATTGAAGAAAGTTGGCCCCAGTTGGAATTCATTTCTTTAGGTCGGATTTGTTTAATACATGCTGAGACAACCGGAGGGAAGACAGTTGCGTCAGCCGGGCGCGTTTCGTGACAACGGCCTCTCCCGAGTGGTACTTAGGTGTAGCAGGTGTAGGGAAGCAACAGTGGAGTACTCGAGCGTCTTCTTTTATTAAAGCAAATCCGATTGTACTCCGACGGATTTTGTTCTACGTAGTGAGGAGGTGATAGATCATGTCAAAGAAACGATTTTCTTTTTAATTTTATCATATTTTGAAAGATGTCACTACCGTTTCTTAAAGGAGTTCCTAGATTTGGGATATTGACCCGGTAATCATCCATTAAGAAAAGTTTTTGTATTCTTTTCAGTATCTCCAGGAAAGTCCTCAGATTTATTAAACAAGCCATGACCAATTCTTTTCACATCGTTCCCAGTCCGGTTCATCTAGTTACTATAGGATTCTGACGATGGTGTATAACACACAGAGATATTGGGTTTTCGGACTTTATCCATCGTCCTGGTTTTTAAGATAACTAAGAAAAATACGACGTTTCGGAAACCGGATCTGTTTCCGTCCTCAGGTGAAGGAAAACACCTATTCTGTTGGGTCCCTTAGAAAGAGCTAGCCTCAATCACTGGACCTAATGAGGACCTGAGGACCGAAACAGATCCAGTTTCCGAAACGTCGTATTTTTCTTAGTTATCTTAAAAACCAGGACGATGGATAAAGTCCGAAAACCCAATATCTCTGTGAGATTCATCTAACTTTTGATAAAGCGTCTTGACTAGCAGAGAAGACATAAAACTTTTCTAATTACACCAAAAATCAGAAACGGAAAACGAAGATATTAGTATATTTTTTCATGGCTGATCTCAGATTTCCATAGTGTTTGTTAGGTTCCGTGTTCCAGCAAAAACGAGGAAAGAACTGGTTGGTTGGTTGGTTGGTTGGTTGGTTTTACGAATGAAACTCTGAATAAACAGAGTGAAGACTGTGTTAAATATACACACATCTCAGGATTCAACGTTTCTGTGCGGTGCGTTCGTTGCGAAAAAAAGAAACATGTTTACACTTTCATGGTGGTTGTCGATCGCTCGCCTCTCCACCGTAATGTAGTCCGAAGAACAGAGGGCGCAAAAGGGGCGTAAGCGTCTGTACTGAAAAAGTGATCTGTACATATTACTAAACGACGTCTTTCAAGCTAACTTTGTTTCTAGTGTCCATAATTTCACAAATTATTTTCACGGAGTGAAGAAAAGAAAAATATAATATAGTGGTTTTCGTCCTCTTGTTTCATCCAGAAGCTAGTCGAAGGATTTCGATGAAATTTTATGTTAGGTTTATTTACAATAAAATTTATAAGGATAATTTAAATTTAGGACTTGTCCAAAAGAATAAATCTCAAATTTTAGTCGATAAAATTCCTCAAAAACAGTTCACCTTAAAATAATTTTATGTAATCAAATACATATGTGATCAATTATTTATAACTGTGTAACAGTATATTCATACACAGTGTGTCCAGGTTCTGTTAGGACTGTGTTCATTAAAAATACAAGAAGTGAATTATTTTCAAGATTTCATTCTTTTTATTCAAAATAGTCTCCTTCTGAATCAGTAGATAGTTGGAATCGATTGAAAAGTTTTCGAACACAGTCACTGTGCTCCTTTTGTGGAGCCGCATTTAAAACTGCGGTCCATTCCCTTTGGATGTCCTGGATGGTGTCGTGACGGTCTCCTTTCATAGCCAACTTAACTTTTGGGAACAATCAGAAATCTGCTGGAGCCAAATCTGGCGAATACGGAGGAAAATCAAGGACTGTGATCCCTTTTCTGGCCAAAAAATCGCGCACGATCTTCGGTTTGTGGGGTGGGGCATTGTCGTGGAGGAGCGACCAGGAACCTTGCTCTCGTGTATTTATAGTTATAATCTAGATTTATGTAATGTAAGCTACTTCACAAAAAAATTAAATACCTTAAAAATGCGGCCTTCATTTTCCGCTCTTTTCAGTTAACGGTATACAGGCTTGTATTCCAGTTAATCAGATACAAATTTTGTGTCTTCTTGAATGAGCGATCGACTCATTTCGTGGCCAACTGAGTGATTATTACCTTCTCAAGAAAGAATTTGTCGATATCATATATTTTGGATTGCTCTCAGCGTCGTTAAATAAACCACGGATAAATAAATAAGGTGTATTTTCCGTGAGATTGGTGTCAGATATCGTGTTCTTATGATAGCTGTTGGTAGCGGAGTTTCGCGCTGAACAATAACACGGATCATCCCGGAAAAATGGAGTAACTATTGAATTACCTTGTACCGGAACGCTGCATTATCTGGAATTCCCTGAAGGAGACTGAAGAAAGCCATGCAGGAGCTTTGAATACGATGGTGGATTTGTGTGGAAAGTTTCGCAGATAACATTTGAATACCAAATATTGCTGTAATACATTTTCAGTTTAATGTTTTGGAATGGAGTTAGTTCGTTCCTGCTCCCAGAGAGCGATATGTTTATCACGGCCGTGGTTATTTATAGCTGAAATACTTTGCCAACAAGCAAAAAAAGAGGAGATCCTAAAAATGTCTCATTTTTATTGTCGCAATGCCCGTCAAATGTCCATATTCACGTTCTGCGTCATTGGATGTTTCGATTGTTCTGTAACGGGTGATTATAATAATGGTTTGTTGTGTCTGGTGCAGTAACTATAGAAGTGTCAACTGGTTCCTGACGGATGCGTGTAATAGTATAAGTGTCTATAAATCCAATCATCCAATCCAAAACCAATTATTATCAGTCACAGAATCCCGGACACATGACAATACCTTAGTGTTTCTTTAGTATCTAAGTTTCAAACGAGTACTTTGGCCCTTCTGCTTCTTTATGGTATTTCTGAGCCTTTGGCTTCCTCTGAGAACTTTGTTTCCCCTGAGTAGTTTTGGTTTCTTTCGGAATATTTCGAATTTTCTGTGAGTAGTTCAGTTGTTTTCTACTTAGACCTCCTCCGGATTTCCCTCCACACTTCGGGATTTCCGTACCACACATAAATCCAGATACAGTGGGTGCTAATTGTGTGCGACAAGACAGACCAGACAAAATATTAACATAATCTCGCTCTTCAGTTTAGCTCGGCACGAATTTTACAAACACTGTATTAAAAACTGGAGAATGTGAAATGTTTTAAATATTTGGGTAGCTTGTTAACAGGTGATGGAAGGTGTACGTGTGAAATTAAATCTAGGATTGCCATGATAAAAGCTGCATTTAGGAGGAAGAAAAATCTTTTCACTAGCAAAGTGGACTTAAATTTGAGAAAGAAAGTAGTGAAATGCTACATTTGGAGCATGGGGCTGAAACTTGGACACTTAGGGCAGTAGATCAGAAACACCCGGAAAGCTTCGAAATGTGGTGTTGGAGAAGGATGGAGAAGATCAGTTGGACCGATTATGTGAGAAATGAAAAAGTGTTATTTAGAGTGAGTGAGCAGAGGAATATCCTACACGAAATAAGAAAACGGAAGGCTAATTGGATTGGTCGTATTTTACGCGGTAACTGCCTTCTAAAAGAATTTATTGAAGGAAAGATAGAAGGGCGGATAGAAGTGACCAGAAGACGAGGAAGAAGACGTAAGAAGGTACTGGATGACCTTGGGGACAGAAGAGGAAATTTTCATTTAAAGGAGAAAGCTCTAGATCGCATCAAATGGAGGAAATGTTTTGGAAGAGATTGTGGACCTGTCGTCTTGACAGATTACAGATGAATGAATGTATTAAAACTAAGCCACCCTTTGCTTACTGTTATTGAAGATATATAGAATGAAACTTACCAGACCCTCCTGCAGGAATTCCTCTGTGGCCATTGTTACTCCCTTCTCATCGCCCGTCCAGAAGATGTACTCTGCCATGTCCAGAGGCGAGTATTGCACTCCTGCGTAAGACGTGTACTTGTCTGCCTGCAAGCATGGAGGTACGTGTCCTTGGTGTGGTCGTAAGGGTGAATATGGTGCAACTGACTTCTGACGTTCATATGCATTTTATTTCCGTTTTCTTATTGACCCTTAAATTATAATGATGGGAGCAATATAATTCGCCAGACTTACGTTCTTCAGTTACTCACTGTTAACACATTTCAAGGTAAACGAAATTGTAACTTGTAGATAAACATCTCAAAGTAGTAAGAAAATGTGCGGCAGTTCTGGACTGTAAGCCCCTAACCATCAAAATCAAAGAACCAAGAAATTATCAACTGGCGAAACTGTCAACCTTTTGGCATGAAATTTCGTCACTTTAACTTAGTTTTATAGAAACTTTAAAATGAAAAAAGAAGGCTTCTTAAAATTCAAGTTACTAACAATTAACAAAGCATGCGAGTCTTTTTTACTGGATCATGAACAGTGAATTTTTAGGTCATCTGGACTCAGTTTGCGATACACTTCTCTATTCCTAGGTTTAGCCATGAGTAGGAAACAAAAGAAACAATGAGGTTAGTAGAATCATGAACGAAATCCAAAATCTGTTGGAGTTGTCGCAACTTTTCCACCTTCGACAATTTGTTGCCGAAATTTTATAGCCATTACAAATTCACATAGATGATCATGAAACGAAACAGTCGGATCAATTGTATGAACATTAATTGTAGCACGAGAAAATACATGATATTTTAAGTGACTCCTAACAACACCTGCTAAAAACTACAGTACGGAAGAAATTGTTGAAGGATATTTGGGACAGAGAATTCGGACCCGCACTGATGTGTCCTGTTCATCACATCAGAAATCTCAGTGAATTTGCAGAACATAATCCTGCTTCAATCTGAAGGATTACATACAAAATGTGGCCTTTGTTGAAAGAGGCTTCGTTTTATGGCACGGCAGTCGGGAGATGTTATATGATAAATATCTTATTTATTCGTACAGGTTATCAAGATAAAGCGTTACTACCGACTAACGTGTTCGGATGGAGAGACATAAACAGATCCTACTTAATTTGGGTGGAGGAATGTGTTGACAAGCGAATACTTGAAAGGTCAAGGACAGGCAGTAAATTCATTCAGAATTTGATTGGGGAAGCGTGGCGAACGTTTGGAAGAACTTGATGGAAATGGGACGGCATTAGGAGAAGTGTTAGGAAAATTATTTATGAGGACTTCAGTTAGCTTAAAGTGAAACATAATCCTGTACAGTGACAAGCTGTGGCGTTATAAATGAAATGCTGGGCGTTACTCTCATAGAGTTAGTTGTAAGACGGGACAGTATAACTTAACATTATATATGTATATATCGTCCGTCAGTATTGCAACACTTGTTTATTCACTACTTAATTTTAATTCTAGTTTAACATTATACACTTTGACACTACATGTTTCGGCCCCAAACGTCCATTTTCAGGTGTCTTGATAAGTTACAAATATTTTATTAAGTTATCAGAGCTTGAAAAGAACCTAAATGTAGCCTAAAATATGTATATTGTACTCTGCTACAAGCCGGAAGGTCGCGGGTTCAAGTCCCGATGAGGTCATTGGATTTTTTTTCACTTGACCTAATCCTTCCAGTTAGGCTCTGGGGTTTACTCAGCCTCTAACAGAAATGAGTACCAGGAATTAATTAAATAATTTTCCTGGGGAGTAAAGCGCGGCCGGCGCGTAAGGCTGACAACCTTACCGCCATCTTTGAGCCGATTGTCTAGATGATGTGGGACCCTTAACGTCTCACAACTCTATGGGCTTTTACGGCCTGGTACAGCGATAGATTTTCTTTTTTTTTTTTTTTTACTTACTTCGCTTTTACAATATAAGTACATTCCAAGGTTTTGCACTCATAATTCTACTGCCGGAAATAATTTAGTAGATGGTCTTGAAACTTGCAGCATTTGAAAGGAGGAGCTTGTTTTCAACTATATGTATGCATAAAAGGGAAGTTTCAGGAGCTACCAGAATGGCTGAAACAGATCTCCGGTATGTAGAACTGCGGGAGCTGGTACCGAATGCTAGAAATGACCTAGTTTGATACAACTTTTCTCTATAAGTCTTTTAATTTTTTTCAATGGCTCTTCCAGCCCATTCAGAGCCCTGGCCTCTTGTCCAGTTCCGTAATTACTTTTCAAAAACGGTAGGACTCCTTGGACGCATGATCAGCCCTTCCCAAGGCGGCAACCTAAACACAGGACAACATACACGTAAACACAGAATAAGCGTATACAGAAACACACCAAACATCAATGCTTTAAATGGGATTCAAACCCACGATCCCAGCGTCCGAACGAGCGAAGACAATAAATGCCTTAGAACGCGCGGCTACTATGACCAGCGCATCAGTCTTTAAAACTCAGTGGTAATCATATATACCACCTGCTTTAACAGTATAAACTAAGAATTTTTCTCACAACGTGAATTCGTCGGTTTCATGGCACTATCGCGTGTCTGGGGTCCCGTGACGAATACTAACGGGCTCTGGGTTGGCTGATTGGATTTATGAACACCTTATATAATTAATTCGTACCTACAAGCAGTACAGCGCTATCGCTGATTTACACAATTTACAGTTAACCGCTACACACGCACTAGGATTCTCAATCATCGCTAGTCGTATCCTGGTAACGGAATTAAAATGGTCTCAATGTGACTAAATATTCTAATCAGACACTAGGTCTTTATAGGCTTACTTCCAATTTTTCTTCAGCTACTAACTTCCCGTGGCAGCGGCCTCCGTAGTCTAGGGGTAACGTTCCCAACTCGTGACTCAAAGTACGCGGGTTCAAACCCGACGGAGGTCGTGGAATTTTTAAGGGCGGAAAAATTCAGGGAACAAGTCCTCCGGGAGGTACTTTAAGCCGTGGGTCCCGTGTCGTAGCTTTACGGCATGTAAAAGAACCTCATGTCTCCAAAGGAGGCCACTGAGCAAAATTACGGACCTTTCCCGCCCAACAGTAGTCTCTAACTCCTCTGGTAGATGGGGGAAGCATTAAATATACCGCTCAGCTAGTAGAGGCCGATCTTGCTGGCTGGGCGGGACTGATGGTAAGCACCAGTACCGGTAGGATATAGAGACTGGTAGAATATCATAGAGGGAAACATGGGCAAACCCACCCTCTCCAATAACTAACTAACTAACTAACTTCCCGTGGCTATCCCCTATTGACGGGGGAAACACCGTCTCATAGTTGGTTGAAGCACTATTCTACAGCCAGAAGGTTGCTGCTTCGAGTCCCGATGAGGTGGATATTTTCAATTGACCTAATCTTTCTAACCGTACTAAGGCCCTGGTATCGACTCAGTTTCTAACAGAATTGAGTACTAGGAATCTTCCTAGGGGGTAAAGGGCGGCCGACGCGTAAGGCTGACAACCTCACCGCCATTTGTGAGCCTACTGTCTAGAAAATGTGGGAACCTCGGCGTCTCACAACCCTATGAAACTCTACGGCCTGTCACAGGGGTAGCTTTACCTTCTTTTATCCCCTAATGACAACTTCTAATCTCGTACTCCGTCTAGTCTTCTTGCCATTTCTTGTTCAATTGCCTTGGACTGCCGACCCTTCAGAAGCCGACCTAATTCTCTAATCCCCCAGGTCAAAATCAAAGTAAGAATATAGTGAAGATGGATTTCAGGAATGTAGGTTGCAAGGTTCGAAGGCGGACGTATCCAGTTCCGGATCGTGTCAAATTGTCGGTTTTGGGGTTATCGATGGTTCTGCTACTGTTACGAGTATATACGATATTCAGAATTATGCTATGTACTTTACTTTGCCTAAGTTTAATACTTGTAGTGTGAAATGTTTAGTGCAAATAAGGACAACACAAAATTTGTATTTTTGTGCACCCAAAGAATAGGACTAGCTAGTGTTCTTTCAGAATATTGGTATTATGAAAACAATAAATATAGACCTACATGTATAACGTTACTATGAATAATTATTTTAACAGGTTCCAGTGTTGTATTTGTGTGTATGTTGTGCATACTGCTCGAAAGATAAACTGAACCATGGAAACTTTTATTGTGACTAAATTACAATGAAATAACTGCGAATAATTTGCTCCTGCCGTCTTCAGAGATCGCGAGATATCCTAAGGAGAAGTTTCACATATGTAACTTATTGACATTTTATGAATGTATCTTCTTCGGGAGACACGAAGCCAACATTTAATGTTAGATCCTAACACTTCTATGTGGACGTTAGAAGGTCGAAAATGCTGGGACTCGATACTGCAGGTGTGTAATCTCATGTCAGCGTGCAGTAATTCTCACGTCAATACCCCCCGACTTAACCGAGATTATACATACTTTGTTGCGTCGCTCTACGTTGGCGACGGCCTGTTGCGAGTCGCTGAGTATGGTCCGGTGAATCCCCTGACTAGGCACTTCAACCTCAGTTCTCACGTGAGTGGCTGGGATGGCTCCCTCCGTTGCTTCCTGCTTCGTGTCTACCTTCTGGTTCACACGGGACACTAGCTGGCCGTCACGGTTCACTACAACAGCCACAGAACTCGTTGTCACACTCGCCTCTACAGGGCCTTGTGCTTCCATATTTTTGGACACTTTATCAGGATTTCTGTGGAAGAATGTCGATGTTTCTTATTAAATATTTATTTATTATTTATTCATGGTTCCTTGAGCTAAGTTTTCAATTTTTCAGATCATGTAGTCGCGAATAATAGACTGCATTGGATATGGAAGAGGTTGGGATCTAATTAGAGGTGCTGTCCTGGGATTGCCTGGGGAGACTGAGGAAGACCAAGAAAAATAAATCATAATAAATTATCTTTAGGCCGAAATTTGAACTCGAAACCTATCGAACACGAAGTTGGAGTACTGAGCACTTCTCCGATGCACGGGTCTTAAACATTTCACGAATTCATAAACCTTGACATTCAATTAACCGTGCACGTTTTATTTTGGATATATTGATTATATGGGAGCTCTGTTTGTAGTTAGGCACACATCAAACCTATAATTCAGCTGTTGCTACATGTGGGACGATGTACCTTGGATATTTGCAACTGTAGCTTCAAACATTCTTTGTTTAACTATTATGATAACGTCCGGCCGGTGGAGGGCTCTCTGTTCGTCACATGAATCGCCCAAAATAAATATGATGGAATGAGGATGGGTGAGACGGATATACGTTTCCCATGTGCCCATCCACTTATTCGAAATCTGGGATTCACAAGGTCGCCGTAATGTATTGGTACGCCATCATGCTTCTAAATGTTGTACCGTACATAGTAGAACCTGTGGAGTTCTCTGTGTCCAGTTACGACTTACTGATTATTGTTTTTTTTTCCGTGGAGATTAACTACAGTAACATTTACGGAATACCTCGGGAAACAAGTATCAAATCTTCTGTGCATAATGTTTTGTGCAAAACTTTCCCATTGACTTATATCAAAATCCCAAATTATTACACATACAGCCACGTCAGCTCTCTGTTGCACTGTGTTGCACTGCACAATTGCGTTCCTTTATAGTCATTTCAGGTGTCTCATATCACACGTTTTTAGTTCTACCATGTCCTGCTTCAGTGAGATATTCTCTGTTTATATTTACTGACAATAAAATTACCACCTGCCTCGTGAGGCGTGTAAAATGAAAGAACAAAGATGAAGCTGGTATACGGAGACACAAATAAGAGTAATTCGAAACTCTGCAGTTGGTTCACGAATACGCTAACATAACACAGTATGATTCTTACCGGACAAAGCCTTCCGCATCTCGATTCGTATGTAGGTCATATAGATACGTAGTTGGGAGCGTTGGGAGTGCACTATTGAAATGGACGTTTGGAAAATGCCTTAATATTCTGGTAGCAGATGAGGAAGATGTTTACACTTTTTGTTATAATGCTCGGCCACAATTTGAGAAGAGCCTGCGATTTAAATTGTGAAGATATAACCCTTAAGGAAATATGCCATTGCATAATAATTCACTCCGTAAATATTTATGAATTCAATAAAATCACGTTTATGAGGCGGGAAAGCGCAGTTGGTATAGCGACTGGCTACGGGCTGGACAACCAAGGGATCGGAATCCGAGTTCCGGTAGACTCAAGAATTTTCTCTTCTCCGTATCGTCCAGACCAGCTCTGGGGTCCACCCAACCTCCTATCAAATGGGTACCGGGGGCTTATTCCCCTGGGTTAAAGCGACCGGGGCGTGAAGCTGACCACTCACCTCCAGCTAGTGCCGAGGTCAAGTAAATGTGGATCTATACATCCACTCCCCATACGCCCTCTTGGCATAGGGCTTAATTTGTTGAGCATAGGGACAATTTTACCTTTACCTTACAAAATCACGTTTAGAAATTACGGAAATAATAAAACATCACTTTAAGGAAACGTTCAGGTCGGTTAGAGAGGCCACAGTTTTTTCAATCCAACGGTCATGGATGGTATTTTCTGACCGATAAAGCGGTCGGAAAGTAGAGCAGACCAATTGACTTGATCTAGTGCCGAGTTTAGAAACACATGGAATCACATTTCTACTCCGTCGTGCGATGCTTAATCAAGCACAGAGAGGAGACACTAGCCATAGAGAGTCGCCTAGTCGTGCCAAAGAAATGTTACTGTCAGTATCAACTGTCACATTTTTCTTAGTATCGTTTTAATCATTATTGCTGTAAGTTCTGATATTGGAGTGAGGGCACGACAAGGAAACTGGCAACCGCAACGCAACCGCAATTTCCGAAAATCGTTATCAGACTGAATGGAACATGTGGAACTGAATGCAGGAGCGTAAATTGAGGAAATGGCAACGCAGCTCGCGAAAGACTAGGAAGTCAATTCCCAGGGAAGGGGGCAAGCCTGTCTTCTCACAGTTGCGTTGCCGCGTAGTTTCCCAGTGTCAGCTGTTCTAACCCGCTTCTATGATTCACTCACTCCTTTAGATGGCACGAAAGTTTGACGAAGCTGATAATTTTATTTCTGTGCAGTTAACAGAGCAAAAGCCTTCTGTGACAAGTGAGACGCAGATTGTGTGAAGCAGGTTTGGGAAAGAATTTCTCATGAGCTGAGGGAGTCTGGATTCTGGTTAAGTTCTTTTGAAACAATATAAGTACCTCAGTTTAAATTGTCACGGAAGAACGGATGCACCCAATGTTTTGTTTTACTAATATTGTATTTAAACATCTGTTTCTTTGCTATATACCATTTATTTCAAATATATTTCCATCTTAATGCAATTAATTATCTAGTCATCCTTCTCCAACACTACATGTTTCGGCTGTATACGGCCATCATCAGGTATCTTCTATTTTGCTAAAATGTTTGCACTGTATGTCAATATTTCGTATCGCGTCCGAACGCTATAATTCCAGTTTAAAATAAAATGATCTTAATTAAAATAAATTAAATTAATTAACACCCAGTGCTTTCCGTGCTGTCGTCTTCCTCTCTGCTCACGGCATCTCAACCACCGCCACTTTATGACAGGAGCAATATTATCTGACATTGCAGAAGATAAATGAACAAAATTAAAATTACCATCATACGTTAAGTCGGACGAGATGTTTATCATCATTAAGATGATGTGAATAACTAAACAAACATGAGTTTCCTCAGTGTGCACCCGCTAATTTGGAACCCAGTTGCCTGCTTGAAATCGGTGACATTTCTCGAAATTGCAGTTGATTTGCAGTTGCCCTCACCCTTAGTGCCCGGCTCCGTCCGAAACAGTAGTGTGTGCATATAAACCCACCCTCTCATGCTTCTGCGTGCCGTGGCATTTAAGCGTAGGTCGAGTTTGGACGGTACCTTTCTTCTTGTGCAACAGAGGATCAGATATTACATAGCTCGAGAAGTATGCGAGGCATCCTTCTATTCAGAAGATAGGATGCCATTTCAGCTAAGAAACTGTAGGCCTGGCATAACGTAACAATTCTAATGCCATCGCCCTGTTTTGTTGATTTAAGGTAGACATGTATTGGACATAAATGTCTGTTTCATTCCTCTACAGTTTTGCTCGAAATATTTTTCTCTCTGATAAATATTTGGCGAGTTACACTCGAGATGTCTTAAGAAAAGCACGTAAGAGGTTTTCTTTCCCGTTCTTACCTAAGTTCGTATGCATGGCTAAAGTTCAGTGAACCCGCCCCCGCAGCACACTCGTATTTCATGAAAATCTGTTAAGGGTTCTGAGGATAGCGCATGCGGACAAAAGGAGGGATAGACATGGCGAAGGTAATAGACGCATTTCTGTAAGTTTTCGTTTCAGAAAGGTCGAAAGAGGCATCAATAGAAACATGTGCTAGCGTTTGTGTTCCGCCAAAGCAGAAAAGAACACGAAAGGTTTAAACGAGGTACTTTTTAAAACGGAACACATTCAAAATCCGTCTCCTATATAAACATTCGATTCCGTACGCAGACCAAATAGGGGTGATAATATTGTCACCGCTAAACCAATCTTTTGTTGTCAACTATTGAATTGAATGCTCCTTATGGAAATAGGATATGAAACTTTTTATTAATATATAGTTTTGTAATCGTTTGTGTATCTGTCAGCCAGTTTATTTAAAGCGTCGCTTTTATTTGTGTTGGGGACATGCGGTAGCGTGGTTGAGGCACTGAGATACAAACCGGAAGGTCCAGGGTTCGATTCCCTACGAGGTCATTGGATTTTTCATTTGATCTAATTTTTCCAGAATTATGGTTCTGGGGTCGACTCATCCTCTAAGAGAAATCAATGTGTGAAAGGGCGGCCGGAGAGTAAGGCTGGCAACCTCATCGCCATTTCTGAGCCGATTGACTGAAAATTTGGGAGCCATGACCTCTCACGCCCCTTCACAGACTGTTACAGGGATAGCTTTACATTTTAGCTTATATTTCTGTTACATTTTAAAATTTTGGCTTATACTTCGCTCGGGTCCGGTTATTAATGACAGTGTTAAACGAACTGTAAATACATATATTGACTGTACACCATTTTCACCATCCCCACAAAATCATAACAAATAAGTGCTCGGTTCCAACGCGAGGCTTACAGACAACTGCCTTCCACAGAAGGGGCAAAGAGGTTTCCGTCTGTAGCTGGTAATACGTGAGTTACCTTGCTTCAGAAATTTTTTGTGGAAAGAGGCGTGCAATGGCGCATTCCTCTACTTACACCACGAGGCATGAAAAGGGAGCTGTCTCTACCCGGCTTTAGGCTGCCATCGTATTCTCAGACACTTATGGTGGGATGTGAGGATGTGTCATATATTGATCTGGCTTACGTAAAAGTAGAAATAAAGTAACAGAAAGTGAAGAAAATTATAAAACAGTGGCGTTCATAATTTGTGCTTGTCACATAGTGTTTTGAAGGCGATTAAATCAAGACTAATGAGGTGGGGGCCAGTTATGCAGCGCGTGCAAGGGAAAGAAGTAGGTATGAAACTTAGCTTAAAAGTTCTCACTGCTTTAGAGTCCAAGCGATATGTGAAAATATAATATTAAAATAGATTCCGTAAAAAGCCTTATTGCTGAGAAGATTTTAACGAA